CACAGTGATTGTAAACCCACCACAATGAACAATCATTACCAGTGCCACCTACTTCGGGTGGTTTATAGACCTTGCCAGTGACCTTTTGCAGGATTTGTAAGTCACCTGTTCAAGAGCAAAGTGACCTCATTCAAACAATCTAATCGTTACGACGAACCCTTTCCCGCCTCTGGTGGACTGGCCGGTGACACCACAGGCACTGGAGGTGCAGGTGCTGCGGCCAACACCGGCGGTGCTACCGCGACCGGTGCCGCTGGTGATACCGGTGCGAGCACTGGCGGTGAAGCCACGGTTGACCTGGGATGCGTGTGTGTGTGTGTGTGTGTGTGTGTGTTATGTTTTTGGCCAGCTCTCGCTGCTGCAAGAGCTGAGGTCATTGACCGCAGAACGCTTGGGGCTGTCAAAAAAGAAATATATAGATGCAAAGACAATTGCGATGGAGACTCATCCCTTTCATCCCAAAAGAAGCAGGAGGTGCTTGAAATATGTTGAAACCATGCAGTCCGGTGGTGCTGTTCGGGGGAAATCGATGCGAAGCATATTAATTAAAATACAGTGTACTATTTATGCGAAACTCTCAAGATCTGTATTATATCTCCAACATGCGTAGGGCTCGCTGCCTTTGTGGTGCTCCCTGCCCAAAGCAGTCTGGCGAACGATGACCAAACCTTGCACTTGACCCTGCCACCCTTGGCCCTTGGTTGATGAAGTTGGCACATGATCAAAGGGACCATGAGTCACAATGGTGGTCGCCTTGAGTCCAGGGGTTGTCTTGCATAATTTTCCCGTGTATCGAACTAATCTGGCATATCTTGCACCTGCGGCTTCACCATTGCCCGTTGGGACCCCCCGAAACTGTGGTGCTAAAATGTGCTAAATGACAACAACAGCAAGTGCAGTCTTTCTGAGGCAAAGAAACACATGAACACCACCATGCCATCCGAGGTTGTTCTTGCACCCCTTCCTGCCACGGAACGCGGGCCCGGCTGCCCCATCCACGCTGAACTCGACAGTGGCCGGCGCGGGCTCACGGGGGACTTCAAGTGAAGAGCCCAGGGGCTGCGACCTGAATGGGATGAGAGCATGTTCCCGGTTCTTGAAAGTGACCCTTAGAGGGATGGCGCCTCACCAACGCACACATAATTCGCCTCACCTGCGCACACAGACTCTTTTATATATTTAACTCACCTGCGCACACACGATTCGCCTCAGCTGCGCACACATCGATTACATTCTTCTTCAATAAACAGCCCATGTTACCTCAAACTCAGCTGCGCACACATGATTCGCCTCACCTGCGCACACACAAATTGAGTCATGATCTCTTTTTGCTCATTGCTTCCTGTTGGGTTGGGATGGGGGG